GTGTAGTCTGGTATTTAAGACTGCCCTGTGATGAGGTGCTTTGTAGCACATGGTAAGTAAAAAAGGCTTGGAGCTGATTTTGGTCACACTGGAATTTCGGCTAATGAACTGTTTGTCTGCCTTGGTATGGATAATGACCCTACTTTGTGAACTTTGGTTACGTGTTTGCCTTGAATTAGTAAGGCATCTTTTAGGAAGTCCCATTTATCAGCCCTAGGAAAAATCACTTCCCTACTCTTGTACCTTCTTTCCACCTCTCTCTTATTGCAGCCTCTCCTTGCTCTACACCTTGTTTTCTTGGGACTGTAACACTTCATCCCCTGCCACCTCTTCCTGTGGCCCGTGGCTGGGGGAACAGCAGCAGGAGGAGCTGGATTCTGCCTGGGCACCTCTGAGCCCCCTTCCAGCTCCCGAGCTTGTCTGACTGCCTGGCCCTGGCTCATCATGTGCTGCCTCCTGTCCCAGGCTGACACATGTTCTGTGGAGCGCACCTGGATTAGACCTTTTTTCACCAGATGCTTTGGGAACCAACCCAAGTGTTACTGAAAAGATGCATTACCCTTCAGATAGATGACTGCTGATACACAGGCTGTTAACCAGAAGCATAAAACCATTCATATTCTGATTTTCGTGGAGGTAATAAACACAGGGGTTAAGGAGGTAGCAGCCTTGTATTTTTGCAAGTGAAGCATAAAATTGAAAGAAGCACCCTGATTCTGAACGTGTTTTCAGTTCCTGAGGCCTCATTTCTTTGCCATTTTTAAGAAATATACTTGTAACACAGACACTTAAGGTCTGCAGCAAGCTGCTCGGCTTTCCATAGCAAAGGGAAATAATTAGCTTTCAGAGTTGAGGTTTCTTGTTTGTTTAGTAATAAACGTCTTGCACGATCAGGACATTTCTTATGCATATGGATTTGCTCACAAGCCAGCATTTCCACTCAGCTGACAAATGCTGAGTTCAGAAGCGTGTGCACTTTGCCTTTGCATGTTCCAACACACTGTAACTAGGCTAACCTCTTCCAGTCACTTTACAGGTATGTGGAGGTTCTAACAGAAACATTTTTCCATTTGAAAGGCATTTTACAATGTAGTACAACGGGAAAGGGATCTGCAAGATTTGTTTGAATAAAAAAGCCCCTCACAGGATGAGCAGTCAACCTTTCTACTTAAACTTGCACTTCCATTGAAAGAAAGTGTCTAGCTTACACTGTTTTTCTACTTTTAACTATTTGCTGTTAAGTCTACAGGTAGGTATTCCAGTTCTTCTGCTTAGGGGTTCTGAGGAACTTAGAAGAGAAGTGGATCTCAACATTTGAACATTTAAAGTGATTCTTTTGAATACACATAACTTCTAGGCAGTCCAGAAGTTACTGGAGAAGAATTCAGGTGAAGACAGAGGAAAGGGTAGAATAGTAAACACGGCAAAGAAATGAAGAAGTTTGGCTTTTTGGTACACAGAAGGCTGGATGCACTATGAAGTAATGGAATTTACTCCATTTCAACCCTCCCTTACTATCAAGTATAGAACTAGGAGTTGTAGGAAGTAAGATTGACTGATTTTTAATTTCTTTTAATTAAATATAACTGATAAACTCTCCTGGCATTTTGCCAGAATATTCAGCCACTGTGTTTGGTCAGGTACAGTTCATCAGTGATGTTCAGTTTTATTTCACAAATCCCAAAGATAGTTTTTTTTTTTTTGGATGTAGAAGTTCAATATATTGAAAATGCATTGAAGAAATATTAAATACAAAACTATTAGAGGTGCCATGTATTGTGGAAGAGTTGGTTTTTTTTAGTCCCTTTAAGCAGCAGAGGATAAAGGCTTTGGAGTCAAGATGTTCTGACAGAGTAAGGTTATGCAAACACCTCACCATAGCCAGCGGCTTTAGCCCCTAAATAAATGAATTTGAAGCAAAGAGAAAAAAAGTCCCAAGCATTTAAGAAGTGAAACATCTTTGTATTTTATGTTGGAAACAAGCAGTTCAAGTGTGCAACTAAGTGTGTTCAGGCCTTGTTTAAACAATTTTGCTGGTTTATAACTCAAGTAAGTGCTATAGAAGTGGCGTACTGAGGGAGCAAGATGCCTTGCTGGTCTGAGCTGTGTATGTTGCACTGAATGGAGATCATAGTTTCTCTGTTCAGAACTGGGGGTTCTCAGTGGTCCTCACGATGCATGGAGAGCTGTGCCTCTTTCGTCTCTGTACTGGTCACCTTAAGGAGAAAGGCAGGCTTGACTGGGCATGTCCAGAGCCTGAGTTCTCTCTCCAGTGGACATCAGAGTATCCAGCATGTCTCCTGCAGGAGAGGGGCATTTGAATTTCACCTTTAGATGGAAGTTTTTACCTTTCCACTGCCGTGCTTGAGGGTGTTGTCTTTGAGGGTGGTCTTCCTTTCCATGCTGGCTTTGACAAGTGTCCTACTAAAAGATACAGGAACTTCCTAATGATAAAAAAGCCTGTTGAACAGCGTCTCTTCCATGTCTCTGCTGTAAATATGCCAATTCCCTCCTGCTGGGCCATCTTCCTGTTTCTTCATTCCAGAATCTGTTCCCTGTCCCTCCACTTTAAAACTAGACAGACCAGTGCTTCTCCTTTACTAATACTTTCACCGGCACCAGTCCTTTAAAAGTTATGTTCTGTCTGTAGAAGTTCAGGTGCTGACTTTGGAATTACTGAAGTGGCAAACTTGGAAGTCTCCTCTTAAGTGATCTTGATTCAAGATTAAAGACTTCATTTCCAGAATTTGACTTTTCAGT